AAACTATATTCAATAACCGATTTAAACGAATACTAGATAAACCTTCGAGCAATATTGAAGTTCTCAAACAAATTTAATAAACATAGATCATAGTTTACACGTAGCTCCAAAATAAATAGACGTAGGATTCGAATCCGGAAGTCGCCTTAGGGCGGACAAACGAACGGCTGACGCACACTTCATAACATAGATGTATATTCATCAAAACTATATTAAGCTTTTATGAAACTAAACAAAATAACAGTGTGTATTTACATTGAAAATATTAACAGAAGAAAACACGAAAATATAACTGCTTTGTCTAGTATGTCTGTTCGTTTAAGAATCACGCAGGCTGTTATCTGTAAGCACACGTCATTCTCCGGAACAGCCATCGGAGCGCCTTCATCTATAAGGAGTGTAGATCTTGACGGTGAATTGGACTTAGGTCCAATCCGTAAGTATTTCAAGATAGAATTAGAACTTTTCTTCGACAAAAGCGGCACGATCTCTCTTATCGTAGACGACGTAAAAATACCTCCCTGACAGAGATGCAGATTATATGTTGGCAAACTCTCTCAGACTGACCCCATGAGTTCACCCACCAATCATAATGAATCCAGAATAGCAATTATTGGCTTATTTGAAATAGGTAGTTGTAGGTACATAAATGACAAAACTAAGTAAAACGACTAAAATTAAAAGATAATCCATCTATATAAAAATGGAATGTCGATAAAAATATCAAGATTATATAAATACAAATGATACTATTATATAATATGAAGAGCGGTGTACACAGAATTCAAAAACATCTGGGGTTGCCCTTCTATTCAGAAACGTTTGTAAATACCAAGGTTAAACGTTGATGAATACAAAAGAAGGGATGGATTGGAAAAAGATGGATTGAATCTGCGAATAATAATATAATAAACCTGTAGTTTGAGTAATGGTTTGTCAGAATTGAAGGGTGCAAAACAAAACAAGGTAACGATGTATATACCAGAAGTAGTTAAGATATATGAAACTATCTAGGCGAGCTAGCCTCCCGACCGAGAGGGCTGGTGGTCGTGGCGACGACGACCGCCGGTCCGGCGTCCCGAGGGGGAGGGTGATGGGAGAGATGTGCTCCGCACTAAGCGCTTCTCTTTCCCGCCTTTGCCTTTTCATAAGTACTATCTCATGCGAGGTTTGGATGCTGGTTGTTGAGCGACAGGAGATTTTAGTCGGTTCGACTACGACATGCCCCACCCGCCATCCCTAGTGGAAGGTGGATGTCCGGCAATTTCCTCGTGACAAAAAAAATGATATATGAAACTAAACATAGGGTTCGATATGACAGTTAAAATGTTACTGTCACGTCTTGTTTGAGAGTCGCTGATTTGATTAAGCGCCCCATCTTTGACTTTTAATAAAAGACAAAAAAAAGTATTAAGCACGAAAAATCCTACTAACCAAGAAAAACATTGGAAAGCTCATCTAATTGAACACGTAACAAAAACAAGCTCGGAACTTACATGATTTACGCACGTAAGTTTTCAGATCCCGGAGCTTCGAGCTTTTATCCTTGAAAGCATTATCCTATTATTTTTCAGTCTTGTCATAATTCAATTTGGTTTGGCGCCTCGCCTGGTGCGAGCGGCTCCGGGATGTTTACACTAACTTAACTCAGGTTACTTTTGGATGGAATTTTTCATCGCATCAATCTGTCTTATAGATGGATGTTAAAAATGTTCTTATTATTGGCGTACAGGAGTAAGCAAGATTACGGTACAACCCATCTTGAAAGTGGATGTCTCAAATATCGTTGGAATAAAAGATATTATTTATGTCTTCAAATCGGAATACATATCTATTTTTGAGATTCAAATGGGCAACATAGTATTAAGATAACAAGTATTGTTTCTATTAATTAATTAGTGGGTGTGAGTAGTAGACGAAAAGAACCGGATCACCTAACTTCATCTACCATTAAAGGTTCATCCGCTCAAACTCAAACAACACATCAGTTCAGCCACAAACCGTAACACGAATTTGTCAGAATCAGAAGCAATAACTCGTTGTGAACTGTCCACTAACGTTTTCTTAGAACATAAACTGCTAAGAGAGGCCGAGCGCTCCGGCAAAAGGAGAAGTGGCGATAATTCAACGGTAGTGCCGCCGGGAGGTATCGATCTGCTGACGAAACATCACGTACGGAGAATGGTATGTTAATAGATTTAAAGTATTTCAATGAAGAAACGGAGAGTGTAAGATAGTGCTTATAATTCGCGGTTATGTCTCTGGGAATTTTCCTGTTATGTAGTACAAGTCATAGAGCTAGAGTGAAATACCAAAGTGATCATTTCAGATGTGACTACGTAAAATAGGAGCCAACTTCTCTGTTATGGTCAATGGTGCGTCAGTGATAAGGAAATATCGGGATGATCTCAAATAATTATGCACCAACTTTACTGTCTAGTTTATACCTGGTATCGATGGTCTTACAAAATCATACCTGAACCGACGTAGATGGATATGAGTTCGATTTCAATGCTAAGCAGCTACTAAAGTCTATGGCTATCATGACATGTATGCGTAACGATAAAACTTTCACATTATCTTAGCGCATACATTCTACAAGTGCCTATTATCACGGATTGCGGTATTCAAATCTAAACATGCAGTACTGTTTATTTATTATCACATGCGTGTGGTGTGAGGGCTGGACATCATCCAAGCGAAGGCTGAGAATGTATTCGGCGACGTGTCTCCACATGCTTCTGTGGCAATTTCGCTATTGATACTCCACTTGTTTGCCGTTTCAATGTTGTTTATACCCACCCCACCTTTCTACGGCGTGTGGCTTTTGTATAACATAGATCAAACTTTTATTAACGGAACTGGAAATTCGGGTGTTCTAGTTTTGGCTCGTGATTTGTTGAATGCGTAAACAAGTATTCCTTTTCATATCCTGTTACTATGGCAACACGGCACATTCTCTTCTATTTGCTCTCGTAAAACATGACATTTTAAACAAAGCATCAAGTAGAGGCCATTTTACACCTGATAGCATAGTATATATCCGCAGAAGCTGGAAAAAATATTTAAATACGTTTAGAAGTAGCTGCAGCAATTGGCCAGTATTGTGTGCAGACAGTCTTTACAGTTTCCAGTTAAATCGAGAAAACGGATATAAAAAAAAATTGACATTAAATTTGATTCGCCTTGTCAAAAAAAATGAAATTATCTCTATGTGTATGTGCCGAACGCCGCAGAAACAAAAGTGGCGAAGAAGTAGATTATTTCGGAGTTTAGATTTTCAGTTGCCGTTTATTTTGATATTTTATCGTATATCAACGCAGCCTATCTTTACGAGTAGAATTTAAGATCATGACTACTTGTTAACAATTTGCATATAAAGTTCAGCTTTCACATAAAGTGAAAGTAAAGTTTCTTCGCGGTTCTCGCACTGAAGTATGAAACCCATCGAGCCCAAGGTCCCGCTGAATCAGATGTAGATCATTATCGAATTAATATTAAATTATTTTAAAAAGCAAACAAGAAACAGATTTACAAAAAGTAACTGATAAGTTTTAATGTATTAAATAAATAAAGCAAATATTCGTGAGAAAATTCAGAATGTAATTCGAAATTCCCTTCTGAATTGTTCTAAACTCTGTAAACATTTATTTCTTAAGAATTTATACGCCTTTCGTTTCCTGCCTCACAATATTGAGGGAATTGGAAACGGGAGACTCTTCACTCGTTTATGTTTCGGAGAACGAATACTATTTTTGAATAATTTATTATCATTAGAATAGATCAGACAGCACACCGAGTGTCAGACTAACATCATTAATGCTATTTAATTATTGATTGATTATAATCTGATAATTAATTGCTCTAATTGTCGTATCCTCGTGATACTTGTATATTATAAAGCACTCATGGCTTGATGGATAAGACGACCTGTGACGTCACAGTGCTCGGGTTGAACCACCATGGACAGCTGCCAATTAGCGACTTACATTATGTAAAAATAAGATGGTGACTTCGATCTCTTGTCTCAGTGTCTCAATATCAGCGGGTGGTGGTGGTGGTGGTGGTGTCGTCGTTGTGATGTTTGTGTGTTTCGATAACCACTTTACCCCAGGAAGTCTGTGAACTCGTTTGAAGCACTACAAAAGTGTACTTATGATGAAAATACTGAAAACGTTTTTCAATTTATATTAATTAATTGGAAGGGGCGCGTAGCGAAACACACACAAGAGAGCCGAACAGAAACACTCTCGTGCCTCATTGCTGGCGTCATTGCATTGTCGTACATTATTGTTAGTAATTGTAACTGTAGCCATCATAAAACATAACAAAACGACAATAACTTAATCGCCCTCACGAGATTTTCAACTTACAAAGGTCCGGAAAACAACGGACGAGAAACCCGGCAACCGGGAGGAATTAAGTTCCGAAAATGCTTCCTGATTCATGAGAAAAAAAAAGAGCTTAAACACCTCGTCCACCACACTCACAGTCACGTCTTCAACAGTAACAGCAACAAGCCAACTGCGAGGACTCGTCGATGTGATTTATGTAACATATCAGACTACAATCTTCGTTGCAAAAAATCATAAATTACAGTACCGCTTGGTCACGGTTTCATCTCGTAGTGAAACTTTAAATAAAAAGTATAACATATAGAAACCGCTAATCGCTTAAGACAAACACTACGTCCCATTCTATCACATTGAAAACTGAATCCGATTCGAAATAATAGCGCATTTCCGCTCCACAACACGCTGGCGACAGATTTATTCGCCGGATTATACAGAAAACTATTATATATTTGATTAATATCATTCCTTGGAAAGAAAAATTGGAATAAAAGTGATTAAATGATATTGATGTGTACTAATATGATAGATTGTCAAATGTCAAAGATCCAGGCTACTTACTTACTTTAAAATACTTTATCGGTGTCGTTCTCCGCTGAATTCAGAAGAATTAATTCAGAAAAAACAAAGAAAACCAATCAAAATATTTTAATCAAGTAGCCCTTTATAGGTACGACATAATTCCACCACCGATTCTTCGAAGAAACTTATGACAGCTCTATTCCTGTGGCCATGATATTGGTACATCTTTTCGTACGGTACTTCTTCTTGAGCTGCTATCATGAAGCGGGTTATTTTGGTCTTCTTACACAAGAAAAACAATGAATTCATATCTCGTTTGAAGAATAAGCCATGCTGATAATAAGTTATAACGATAATCCAGTTAACAGAACGCGTTTACAAGACTTCTCTGGCCTAAGAATCAGAATCTATATTCTAATAGATCTATGAGTGGCTTCGAGCTCTCGACACGGTGATTGGAAATGAATAATTCATAGGAATCGTTACTGAATGAATTTATTGAGTGTTTAATTAAATACTGTCTTCATTCGGAATAGAATAACTCATTGAGGGCGGCTTTCTTTAGTCGTATTGTGAGAGCAGTAAAGGATTGAAAACGTCTGTAACTTTATACCGGCATCATAATTTAGATCTTAATCTAGTTTTCTGCTCCTGTCTCTGGGGCATGCAAAATTGGGTTGGATGAATTTTCGTGAATCCCTAGGCTTGAGTACTCTATTCAGTATATTTGATCCTCTGTTGTATGTTGTCCGGGGGCAGTCTGTTTAGCTCTGGCCTCACTATAGACGTTTTGAGGTCATGATACAGCAGTCCGTTTGGCACAAACATTGTAGCATTTGTTATTATTAATTATTATATCAACATCATAATTTATAAATTTAATTGCACGTAATTTTGATTAACAAACAGGCAGTACCGACCTACTCATATTAGCAAATGAAAAAAAAAACTTGGGATACAAAAGGACATTAAAAATTTAGAAACCCTATTTTTACTAAAAGCCCAGTTCCCTGAGGTAGCAGTTTCACCCATGAGAGCATAGCTTAAACTACATAATTAAGATCTCATCAAGAACATCCACGTGACAAGAGACAAACAAAACCATCCTTCAAGAGACAAATAAAACTTGATATTCACAATGAAGAAACAATATCGAATAACAAGTCACGAGACGGCAACTATTCACACTAGCTACGCAACCTAAGCCCATGAAAGGAAGATTAGTTTAGATCCATTGTATGATATTTTAACACGAACTTCCATTTTAAGATCCTCCTAGATATTGCCACAACAAACTTTGACCGACCCTTCTACGCTAGCTTTGAAGCTTTCCTAATAAAGCGCCAAGATTCTTTGAACCGAACTTAAAGCTCAAGGAATTTGTATCTGACAAAATTACTTTACTCCTTTATCAGGGGTTAAAAGATTACCTTGTTTCATCTTATTTTCAGGTTCGACTGGCTGAAAGGATTTCGAACCTTGAGTCTTGGAACGTAGATCTAGGTTTGTTTGTTCTGCTTATCTTTGTAGGTAAGTTAAATTTTATGTTCATGTCCCTTGGCCTATACTGTTGTATCTACTAGATAGTATGGGAGTATTTAAACCATTATGACCGTTATTGGTTCGTACAATTATAGAAAGGATTGACTTTTCTAGTTTGATCACAATATCGCTAGAATTAAATTGTATTAGGCTTATGAATTCTAAAAAAAAAGTATAGCTTAAATCGTTAAAAATAATGTACTTTACTTAATTTAATTATGTTGGCTGACAATTAGAACTCGTCAAAGAGTGTCTGTTGGATGACATCGGTTGACCCCGGCACTCTTTCCTTTACATTTTATTTAATTTGTTAGCTGCTAATTTTTAAGTTTATCATTTCTTTATGTTTTATTTATTTTTTATCGCTTATATGCATGGAGGGGTTTACAGCCCACCTGGTGGTTACTGGAGCCCATAGACATCTATAACGTAAATGCCACCCACCTCGAGACATGAGTTCTAAGGTCTCAGTTAGTTACAACGGCTGCTTCGCCCTTCAAACCGAAACGCATTACTGCTTCACGGCAGAAATAAGTGAGGCGGTGGTACCTACCCGGGCAGACGCACAAGAGGTTCTACCACCAGTAATTACGCAAATTATAATTTTGCGGATTTGATTTTTATTACACGACTTTTTTCCTTCACCGTGGAAGTCAGTCGTGAACATTTCTTAAGTACGTATTTCATTAGAAAATGTTGTACCCGTCTGCGGGATTCGAACACCGGAGTATCGCTCGATACGAATGCACCCGACGTCTTATCCTTCTTTAGGCCACGATGACTTATAACGAATGACGACCACGACAGTCACGACAACATGTAATTGAATGAAAAGATTTTTTTGCACTTATAGGCAGACGAGTATACGGCCATTCTGTTGATGAGTGGGCACAGCCACGCCGCTGCTTATCATTGGATATTCTCCGTAAATCTCTTTTGATGATATATTAATTAACAATAAAGAACTCATCATGTTGCATTTGCTAAACATTTTTTCTATATTTTTCTGCAACTTACTATTTCTAAATAAAACCATAAAATTGAGATGAAATGCGAATGATAAACGTGCAACCGAGCGCATTCAAACTGCCGACACGCGCGCAGGTGCACGGCGGAAGCCCGCGACCTCAACGGAAAGACGCCCCAAGTGCAATTATCGCGAGCGATTAAACGCCGGCGGAGGGTCTCGGATCCGCCCTCCCTCCTCCGCGGACTACGTCACGGAATCCTCTAATGACTCTCTGCTCGCGATGAAAGTTTGAAGCATTTCAATAGGACATAGTCTAAATTTGCATGTGGAGATTTTTAAGGCTTTTACATATCAGGAGTGTTTACGGGCTTTTCAAAATATTTACGTGTAATGTTTAGATGAGGTTGGTCTTCTAAAGCCCGAGGCTAGATTAAGAATCACATTCATTAATTTAATATGTATAAGAAACATAAAATCAAAAAAAATCAAAATCAAAAAATTTTATTCAACATAAATGAAAGTACATACTTGTTGAACGTCAAAAGAACTCATCAAGAACTTCATACATTAAAACAACACGCGCACCATTTATGCGTCTAAAGTATTACGTCAGAAACCTTAGTTAAAATGCACACAATACAATTTACAAAGTTTTACGTGAACTTAAATGAAGAAAAACGGAAGTCGTCAGGTTAGAGCCCCTTGAACTCACCTACTTGTTCGGTGAATCTAGTATAACCCCTTGAGGATACTAGAATGGGCGGGGAACTATTAATTTTGTATAGTACGAAAAAGATATGACTCACCGTTCTATTCCCAAGGTTCCGCACCCTGCAGCTGAGGTAGGCTGATTTGCCGACGAGGGCCGTGACGTTCCGCGGAGTAGCGGCATCAAAGGAGGGCGCAAGCCGTGAGCTGCCTCCGCCGGCCGGGAGCGCGTTTATAGAACCCGACCCGCCCGCTACGTCGCAAGAACCTACAAGCAAATCACAAACTTAATGTAAAATAGATAATAATTTAAAAAAAACTAACAATACAAACAAATAAACTTTTTAGAAGTCGTCGTGGCCTAACGGATAACACGTCCAGTGCATTCGTGTTGAGCGATGCACCGGTGTTCGAATCTCGCAGGCGGGTACCAATTTTTCTGATGAAATACGTACTCAACAAATGTTCACGATTGATTTCCACGGTGATGGAATAACATCGTGTAATAAAAATGAAACCCGCAAAATTATAATTTGCGTAATTACTGGTGGTAGGACCTCTTGTGAGTCCGTGCGGGTGGGTACCACCACCCTGCCTATTTCTGCCGTGAAGCAGTAATGCGTTTCGGTTTGAAGGGTGGGGCAGCCGTTGTAACTATAATTGAGACCTTAGAACTTATATCTCAAGATGGGTGGCGCATTTACGTTGTAGATGTCTATGGACTCCAGTAACCACTTAACACCAGGTGGGCTATGAGCTCGTCCACTCATCTAAGCAATAAAAAAATAAATAAAAAAACGCTTTTATAGAGCTTATAGATAAGTGCTTTTCAGGATATCAAAATAACCCTATCTACTCATATCTGTTCATAAAATATTTATAACTACTGATACCATGCACCCCACGCTTTTTTTACAATAAAATAATTTTTTCTTACTCTATTTTTAATTCAAATTCATTAAAATTGATTTTCTATTTTTTAGTTGGATTTTCTATAAAAGCGTATTTTGTTAGTTTTTTTAAACTATTATTTATTTTTAATTTTTTACTTGAATTAAAATTTTTTCAACTTTTTTCTTTCTATTTTTTTTATTTATTTTGAATCGTCATCGGTCCTTAATAAGTATACCAAATTTCGAGTTAATCCGACGTTTTGAAGGGGGTCAAAATCATGCTCAAAGATTCCGTTACAAACATACATACATACATCTGAATCTAATAAAAGCGTATTAATAAAACAAAACCCGAATTATTTTTCTCTTTATTTGAATTTATTTAAAGGTCATAAGATCCAGCATTATTGTGAAGGGTTAGAAATTCAATAACTTTTAAAACTTAAACCTCAGCAACGGTATTCTGTCTGTATGGAGTCCACTAGGTGATCACTTAACACTAAGTGAGCTGAATTCGGCTACAATGCGTTCATCTATACATATAAGTAAAATTAGAGTGTCTGTTTGTAATATTGAAAATACCGCTTTTTACTACATGCATATGAATATGTATGTACGTATGGATACGGTACATACACCAAAATAATATTTTTTACAATTTTTGTCTGTCTGTCTGTCTATTTGTTCCGGCTAATCTCTGGAACGGCTGGACCGATTTTGACGAGACTTTAGCTGATGATATAAGGAGTAAATTGGCTACTTTTTTTAGAATAGGTTCGTTCCGCGGCGTCACCTGCGGTACAACAATAACCGCGGGTAACACCACGGGACTCGGCTATCAATAATAAAATTTAATGCTTCCGAAGCGAAGCGAGGGCGGGATGCTAGTTAGAAATAAATTATGAAGAATCTGATTAATTTTAAATATTACATCACAAAAAGTATTATATCTTATTGTCCAAGGTGATTTCTACTGGCCTACCTTGTCACGAAGGATCTCGGTATATCTGATATCATCAGTGGCAATACAAAAGGTAAATCATAAAAATATTTATAAATATTATCTAAATGAATATGCTACCACCCACTCATATGTAATAAAGTGTAATAATCATATGTAACAAAGTATGTACATATTGTAAACACAATTTTCTTTAAGTAATATTTAAATAGCCTTCGTCATTCAGATGACACTGTGAGTAATCGTATTAAATGACACAAACAAACTGAACATCGAGTGGGCGTCGATACAAAGAAACAGCGCCATTATTTAATATTCGATATTAAACTTTGTAGGTATTGTTTAACTGTATCATTATTAGATGTTTATACAAAATGTTATTATATTTTACATGTACCTAATATTTTATACGCTGTCTGTATCAGAGATGATATTTTGAAGCTTTTGCAAGTCGCAGCTGTAATCGGAACCATTGTTTATGCTCACGATTTTTGTTTGATTATAACAATTTATTTGTACTACGTGTAGATATTATAAACTTATAGTTTTTTTTTATTGCTTAGATGGGTGGACGAGCTCATAGCCCACCTGGTGTTGAGTGGTTACTGAAGCCTATAGACATCTATGACGTAAATGCGCCACCCACCTTGAGATATAAGTTCTAAGATCTTAGTATAGTTACAACGGCTGCCCCACCCTTCAAACCGAAACGCATTACTGATTCACGGCAGAAATAGGCAGGGCGGTGGCACCTACCCGCGTGGACTCACAAGAGGTCCTGCCACCAGTAATTACGCAAATTATAATTTTGCGGGTTTCATTTTTATTACACGATGTTATTCCTTCACCGTGGAAGTCAATCATGAACATTTGTTGAGTACGTAATTCATTAGAAAAATTGGTACCCGCCTGGGATTCGAACACCGGTGCATCGCTCAACACGAATGCACCGGACGTCTTATCCCTTAGGCCACGACGACTTCAAATCGTGGCGATGGATGATTATGGGCTCGTATTATGTGTTAAAATTTGATTACGACATCAAGTAAAGCCCGTAAATAATAAAATAACATATTGCTTTGGGCGTTTCTTTAACAGGGTTGCGGTCGTGCGAATGGTTTGAAATCTCAGACATGTCTAATTGAACCTGGACCTACAGAGCAGTGCGAGAGTAGGGTCCTCAGCGCGCTGCGGTTCCTCGACACGTGGCGCCTGACCTCTAACATTATTCTCCATTTTAAACTCAATAAATTTGCAAATTCAATTAAGCTTTTTTGGAGTGACGAAAGTTCACCGTTGTAGAACCTCTTTTTGTGTAAAGGTAGGGACCACTTTTTATCCGTTTAATTAAAAGTTTAACATAGAATGTACAAGTGCTGACCTTTACTCTCTAAGTTAGTTTTCCTAGTTGGCTGGGGTAGTCAATCTGTTAACTTTTAATTTGGTCAGGTTGGACTGAGAAAATACAACTAGACAGAATCAAATACATATATCCGATTCTACATGGGCGTTATTGTGGCCCGGTTTTGTTAACAGCTGGAGAATGAAAACATTCCAAATATGCATATTCCTAAAGTCTATATGCGAATAGTGCTCCGATGTTCAGAAACTATATTGCGTTTTGGGGAGATATATACGCCAAGGGAAGATCTTCCACCGAGCGGGTGATATTGCTCGGTAGACTGACGGTCCGAATGTTGTTGTTCGGAACTTGTATATATGCGCTTTATCTTGAAAATGTCGTAAGCGAGATTCAGGCATCTGTCAATTATCTTGCGTTGAATGATGGCTACCCGCCACAGCGTTAAAGTTTGATAGAATCTTCTTTTATTTTCTCCACCTTATCCCAATAGGTGGGGTCGGCACAGCTAATTTTTCTCTTCCATTCTCTTCTATCAGCCGTCATCTCCACACTCACTCCTTTCTCTCTCTCGTATCATCATTCACACACTCCATCCATATCTTCTTCGTTCGACCTCTTCCCCCTCTACCTTGCACTACCATTTCCATACATCTCCTAGGCACATACATCTTCTCTCTACGCATCACATGTCCATACCACGCTAACCGTCCGCTCCTTAATTTGTTGCTTACCGGGGCCACTTTCAAACTTCCTCTGATATACTCATTCTTTATCTTGTCCATTCTTGTCACTCCACACATCCATCTCAACATCATAAAGTTTGATAGAATGCCTTTCACATTAGTTTCGTCACGCATAATTTCTTAACTTCCAGCCTTGTGTCTTACAGTCAGAGTCGGTGGTAGAGTAATCTCAAGAATGGGCTCTACTATTAGAACTATTTCAGGCATGAAAGCCCTGTGTTGGGTTTGAAGGATAGAATAGCTGCTGTGTGAAAGAATTTGAAACTTTACCTTATGTCTCTAAAGCCTAGGCTGCACTACGGCTTAGCCGTTGTGGTTTAAAATCGTATAAGTTTATGAAATAGGAAAACGAATACAAGCGACTTGCGCTTTTTTCCCGCGACTTATTTTAAAACTGCGAAATGTTAAAAAAAAGCAAATTGTCGCAAAAAAGAACCGCAACGAAATTTGTAATCCATAGAAGTAGGGGGATTCTTCCTATTCTTACGGGTCGTTTAGAACCTCTGGGTATGCGGAGGGACTTCAGTTCTCTCTGTATTTAGTATTGGATGCTCCATGGGGAGTACCGCACCACCCGCCACCAGAGTAGAGTTCGTTCATCCATACTCTCCGGAGCCACTGCGTTTATCAGCAGTGCGTTTCCAGAGATCTTTATCACGTACCATCCGGCTTTGAAATGAGCTCCCCTCCACGGTGTTTCCCAAGCGCTATAACATGTCCTTCTTCAAACGAGGGTTGTAGAGGGTATTTAACGGTAGGCAGTGGCTTGGCTCTGCCTCTGGCATTTCTAAACTTTATGGGTGACGATAACAACTTACCTCCCCCGCGACCAGCACTCCGACCGCGTCCGACAATCTCGCTCTAGCGATCGACTTTTTTCAGTCGATCAACTTTGAGCGTGTTAATGCTTTGGGTGACGCCATTCGCGCCGCCTCCACTGCACAACACTTCATCGCCGTTGTGCAAGAATACGCTGACGTATACGCGTCGTTAAATACGTACGTCCTCCCCTCACTNCAAAGAGGTCGACGTGCAACCTAACCCATGCATCAGCCCGCTGAGTTTCTCGCCGGATCTTCTCAGTGGGTCGCGATTCCGATCCGGTAGTAGATTCATTCGCGAAGCAGCTACTCTTGAGTTGTTAGGTCTCCTTCGGAGGCGCTCGGGTAGCTGTTAGCAAATCCCACCCCTCCTGGCTGAGCCTTTGCTCGCCCACCTGTCCTGGTAAAACTGGAAAGGCCTCCGGGCCACCAGTAATCCTTCAATCATAAAAAAAAAAAAAAAAAACAACTTACCATCAAGTGGGCC